ACATAGGGAGGACTAATCGATCGCTGTAGGTGAGGATTGGCTTCAGAGCATATTCCTAAATGGCTTCAGAAGCAAAGAGAATCCTCAGGTTTCGTGCTTAACATTGTCTCTGTCACTTAGAACACGGGCCAAACATGGTATCGTTGAGTTCCTGTACTTGGTTGTACGAGCATAGATTATTTTATACTGATTTCTGGTTTTACTTGATGAGATACAAGGCGAGAGTTGGGAATAGAGGGGGTGTTGGGGGTCGGAGCGGAGAGTATGGTTTTAGACCATTTTTCGCATGTATTCAGATGCCTTTCTACTAATGTAGTGACGAGCTGACTGAGTTTTACACCACTAGTCCTACTAACTACCTTCAACATCTTTCTCAGGATGGTGTAGTCCTTTTTCAGTAGCCTAGGAAAGACTAACGGGGAGCAGTAAAGTAGAATAGGTAAGATACAAGAGTTGATAAATTGTGAAAGTAGAGGTTGGGTGATTCCAGATTGTCTTAGTTTCTTAATGTAGTAGGTTAGACAGAACCTACTAAATGCGACTAAAGAGGAAACTGAATTCGCCGAAGAGAGCAATTTTTGCTGAACTACGTGTTTTTTTTCTTTCATTAATGTCTCGATGGGGATTATTCATGAATTGAAAAGTAGCAAGGAGCCTTCGACAGTCGAAGAACTCAATCGGTTTCTTCGGTACTCTGTCAAGCTTGCTGTAGTGAACACGAAAGTTAGGTTTTTTCCTTTTGGAGGATTGTGTCAGTAAGTACGAATATCCAAAGTGGTTCTGGATAGCATTGCGAAGTCACTTAGACGTTATGCATCGAATTGTGATGACTCCATTCTATCACACAGTTGAGAACGCCAACCGTATATTTCCCCAAAATCTTCAGCCTTATACGAATTACATCAGATATATGACCGAAATGAACATTGGGGAAGAGGGATTAAATAAATAAATAAAGGTCATCATTGCAAACAGATGAATTACTTATCATATTCTCATTTGTCACCCATGACAACGCAAACAAAAATATCTCACCATATGATTGGCGACAGACTTTTTTTATCTATTTCGCTTATATGTGTATACTTAGGTTATATCAGAAAAGGGGGATACGGTGACCTATGAAGTTCATATAGTGGTCCACTGATCAGGAACTAGCAAATACAAGGGAGGTGCTGAGGCTGATAAACTTTTCTGTTAGCCGTGAAGCCATGATTTATGCATGTAGTGACACGGTAAACTGATTGGACAATTTTTAATTCATTTATTCATGGCCTTGTTTTCCGAGGTCAGACAACCAATCAGATTTGTTTTATTTATGGCTTCAAATATCTGAGGATTTTGTTGCATTTGTTATTATTCCAGCCGCTCCTTTCTTCCAGTCTGACCTTTGTGCCTCAGTATGGTAGATAAATAAATTGCAGTGATCACTTGTTTTCTATAATGTCGTCATCTGGAGTTACATTCTAGTCATATTTGGAGGACCTCTGATGCAGTAAAACTGTGGTGAGAGCTGTCTGCTACCCAAAACTGGTAGACAGTAATTCACGTCAATGTTTACTTCCTAAATGTTGGTCATGAGAAAAAAAAGAACAAAGACTTTGTGTGGGCGGATGCGATTAGCAGATATTTGGTCTAACCTTGAAAGAAACGGCCACAAAGAGATGACACAATAACTTCCAGTAAGAAAACAACCAATCAGAAGACGCTGTTTCTCTGCTAAAATAACGAATAATAATGTACATAAAAATCTATCGATTTTCTCAATAAACGATTTGTTGCCTGGCCCTTGTCTTCTGTCGTTACAAAACTCCATCGTAACAGACTGCTATTATCATAATTCGTCCGTTGGATTCCGAGTGAAACATAGAGTTCCAGCAGCACATTTCCCATCCCACTACGTTCACTGCCATCACTTTCAATCAGCTGTACAACTGCCCCACAAACTTTCAGTTACTCATCATATGATCTCAGTGTCACCTTCAGACGCCCAACCTTTGGCTTCCACTCGATAACTTGACGTGTTATTCTACTTTGATTTTTTCTCGCAGTATTCTCAGTTCGTCTTCATCGCCTTCTGCATGATAAGTATTAGATTGTTGGGTCGTTCATTGCCAGGGTTTCTTGTTTTTATTCTATCTATCCAACCATCGGATCTTCAATATCGAGCGGTGGCATTTGTTAGTGAAAATTTAGGCAACAGTAAAGGATAGACACCAAAGCCCAATGACCTTGAACCAACCAATCATATGCTTCCAGACTAGAAGTGGTATTCTAATACGTTTTTTCAAGTGTGCCAAGAATCCTTCAATAGGATTTGTATGAGTTCCACTTATAGGATCCACTAATTCAGAAGAATAATTGACTTTGTGATGAATATAGCCTGATGATGATGATGATGATAGTTGCGAATAACCTCACCACTCGTTGTCTGTGTGAATGGCAGTGCCTGAGAGGACTAGTCGTTATATAATTGGTATTAAAACGTCGTCACTTTTGTTTGAGACGCCTTCTAACCCCTATTCTCCTACCTCGGCGATTCATTTTTCGTTGAATAAGCACACCTTCATCTCTATGAATGACGACAGAAGTAATTTCATTGATCCTTTCTGAGGCAATATTCCTACAGTGCTGTGGTGATACCACTGCACTCCTGACGCTTCACTATTCTCTGTTTCCACAGTTGTAGCAGACACTAGTCATCTCAGTAGCCAATTGTGGCATGGACGCAATATTTTACTAAGGCAGAGGTTTCGATTTCGAGAAGAAAGTGCCTAAAAAATCACCATTATTTACAGCTTACAAACTCTTACAGACTACTTCCTGCTATGACAGTGATTGCATCTGAATGCATAATCATCAATAAATAGCCCGGCAATACACTTGTGAAGAGTCATTATCCCTCCACCACATATGTATGTTTCAGTCCATCCTATGAACCCATTTTCCACACAGAAGTGAAAAACCACATTTTGCAACGAAGATGGAAACATTGACGTAAACTGTTGTCTATAATTTTGGATTGCAGACAGCTCTCATCACAATTGTATAATTGGAATTAGGACTCCTTCACGTCTGTCATAGGGGATGCGTTCTACAAACCCTTTTTGAAGATTTGCTCTTGCTCTTCTCCTACCGTGGCGGTTCATTTTTCGTTTAATAAGTATACGCATTGTTTCGTCAGTATGAACAACGACACCATTTACTTCAGGTACACAAGTAATTCCATTGATCTTCTTTGAGGCAATATCCCTACAGTGGTGATACCACTGCACTGTTGACATTTCAATATTTTCTGTTTCCGCAGTTGTAGCAGATACTGGTCGTCTCGGTATCCAACTGTGGCATATATGCAGTATTTTACGAAGGGAAAGGGCAAAGTTCAACAATAGCGTCCCAGGAGTGCGAACGCTCCAATGACCTTGAACGCATGCTAGTCACCAACTAAGCAGCAAATTTCACTCAGATCACGTTTTTAAGTACTGTTTCGACAATGTGTTGATAGCTCTCTAGGGTTAGGATTAGGGTTAAGGTAGGTATTGGGGTTAGGATCAGGGTCATAATTACGATTAGGGTTAGGTTTACTGTTAAGATAAGGGTTATAATTAGGGTTAGTGTTAAGTCTAGGATTAGGGTCAGGATTAAGGTTAGGATTACGATTAGAGATCGATTCGGAGTTGATGTCATTTATTTTAATTTGTTTTATGATCCACATTTTGCTAGTAAGTGGTCGTCGATCCTCTTACTGGAAACCATAGTAATTAAACCGTGGGCTTTTGGGGAAGACTGCACAACAGGATAAGAGAGGTGAACGATTCACAAAAATAGATCATCTTCGGTCACATCGGTGAATACATGTACAGAAACTAGTCTAACTTAGCAACTGATACTCCTCATTATAACTGGGACGTATTTTTTAAAAGTCATGTCAGAGAAAGATACCCTGTTTAATGTGTTTTCATGCATTTTCTTGTAGATATACGTCATTTTTTATGCAAAAATTCCTCATTTTCATGATTGGTCGGCTGAAGGTCACTCGTGCGTTCGAATCTTTGCGACGCTATTGTTGAACTTTGCCAGGGAGAGTTTTGATTTCGAAAAGAAAGTGCCTAAAAAATTACCATAACCTACAACTTACCAACTCTTATAGAGTACTTCCTGCTATGACAGTGATCACATCTGAATGCATAACCATCAATAAACAGCCCGGCAATGCACTTGTGAAGAGTCATTATTCCCTCCCCCAAATATGCATGTTTCAGTCTACCCTATGAACCCATTTTCCACAGAGAAGTCAAAAACCAAATCTTGTATGAAAATTGCAACAAAGATGATGAACAGCATCCATTTTTAATGGTGGGCGATTTGATTGTTTGGCTCAAGGTCACCAGACTTCAGTGTCTATTCCTTACTGTCCCCAAAGTCTTTTATATTTTAGTACCCTGCTAAAGTCATAAATCCCACTGAATTTTTGGATAACAGATTTATACAAAACTGCAATTCTTCTACCTGTGTACTAGGCGCTGAAAACATTTTATTATTCCGTCTGTTTTCGAATTACTTCTGATCGCATTTTAATTTTACAACTTTCCACTTATATTTCATTTTCAAGCTTTTTGTATAATCCAATAAGAATACACAGTGTAGCTTCAACCAATTCAAGGTCATTTTTAACATCAAATCAAATTTCACTGACATTTGTTTTAATAAATCATATAATTTATTTAATTTAGAAGAGGGAAAAATAAAAAAGAACCCATACACAATATTTATTCATATAATAAATGAAAAGAAATAACTTAGTAAGAAAATTACTATTCATTTTTCAATTTTTTCAATAGTAAATTAAGGTAAGTAAATATCACGAATAAAGGATGATGCATGACATGTAGAAAGTTAGGAAATCTCTGAAACAGCATTTCCATTTTTGTGAGGCTCTTTTTTATCAACTGTGATAAATAAAACTCACAATATTGATGAGAAATTGTTCCTCTTTTCATTCAACGTAAGAAATGATGAAATATATCGTTTATCGGTAAATGATAATTCATATGTGGCGCGGAATTCGATAGCGTTGAACAATTGATCATTGAAACATTGAAATTTGAAGTATGTATATAGTGTTTTAAATATTCATTGGATTGATCCTCTTCATCGTCTTCTTCAATAGTACAATCACCATCATCCATATCAAGATAAGCTATACCACGACGTAACATGGGTGGATTATTTAAAATTTCTGTTGATGCTGATGACAATATCGACATATTTACTGGTGGTGGTGGTGGTGATGACGTCACAGATGTGGAAGATTTCAATGATTGTACAGATAATACTTCTAATTGATTGATGTCCTTCTTTTTAGAAGTTTCTCCAGTTACATTAATATTAGACAATTCAGAAAAAGCGTTTTGGGTAGATTTTTTAGAATCTTTTCTAACTTTATCTTCATTATTATTATCAACATCATCATCGTAATCAGCATTCATGTCATCGTTATAATTTATATTCCTGTCATCATTGTGATGTTGTTCTCCATATTTTGTATGTAGTGAATATTTGCTCTGTTCATTTGTTGAATCACCAAATTTACTTATATTTATCACAGGTTTCTGTTGCATGATACCTTTATGATTTGAATTCGTAAGCATTTGTTAAATGCCTGTTTTTTAGAAATTACTACTGAAGAGAACTAAAAATGAAGAGACGAAGAGTCTATCTAATACTTATACATAAATAGTAATAATAATAATTAAGAATATTATTTATTTACTGTCAGACGCGCTAATTAAGTTATAGATTAAATTCAATAATGATAGTAATAATAATAATTATTGATTAAAATATCAATAATAACGTATAGACAGTTATATTGTTAATGTTAGTTAGTATAGGCATTGTTTTTCCAACTTCATACCTATGAAATACAAATGCGATCTAAGAAAGTGCTTCGTCCACAGAGCAAGAGCAATCTGCACTGAGGAATGTCTTAATGAAGAGCCTACCTAATATTATTCAACAACTGCTGAGTGAAAATGGTGGTTAGGCAGAGAAATTCGTCAACAAGAATATGAATCTAAAGTCAAAGCATGCTAAAGTATCAACAGTCCCGAAAAAGGAAGGCCTTTTTCTTACTACTTCAGTTCCTCGGGGATAATACCAGTAAGATAAGTAACACAATGCCTAGGGAATACGGTGGAATAAAGAGCATTCAGTGCTGTGTCTTCGAAAACACCCCTATTTCGCGATGGAGAGTTGAAGAAAAACTGCACAATTTCGCCTTTGTCAATTTGACTGCTCTTGTCGAGCCAGTTACATAGGCCGAACAATTAGGCGTGTTTATCGTTGAATTTCGCTACTACGGGGTGCCACTAACAATTATACATCTCATCCAACAGTTGTACGACAATGCTGCATGCCAAGTAATCCACAACGGGAAACTTACGGAATCCTTCGAAGTGAAGACGGGAGTAAGACAAGCTGGCTGCCTACTATCGCCAATGATTTTCCTGATTGTAGTAGATTGAATAATGCGACAAACAGTGGGCAATGAGGGAAGTGGCATAAAATGGACTCACACAAAGAACTTAGAGGATCTGGACTTCGCCGATGATATATGTGTGATTTCCCACAAACTGGAAGATATACAAGTGGTGAAAAGTAACAAGTTGGCAGAAGAAGCATCCAGAGAAGATAGGACTTCAGGTGAATATAGAGAAGACAGAGGTGATGAAGATTCCTGGGCAACACCACCAACAGCAACAACAACAGACAACGATCAGTATAAATGGGAGGAACCTGAAAGAAACAACCTCCTTCACCTACCCTGCCTGGGAAGCATCGTTTCAACTACAGGCGGAGCTGACGAGGATATCAAAGCGAGGATCGGGAGAGCAAAGAAAGCTTTCATTACTCGCAAGTCTGTGTGGAGAGCAACAGCACTCAGTATAAAAAATAAGATCCGGATTTTCAACTCCAATGTGAAGTCAGTACTACTATACGGATGAGGGACTTGGCGCCTCATAAAGTGCACCTCAAACAAACTACAGACCTTCATCAACAGCTAGCTGTCTTCACTCAATATTACTTAAGATCAGATGACTAGCCAGAAAAGATTAGCAACAGGGATTTCTGGTAGTGAGCGAACCAACACAGCAGGAACCGATTGTGAAACAAATAGGCAGGAAGAAATGGAGATGGGTTGGCCATACTCTGAGGAAACCATCAAGTGACATCACTAGACAAGCCCTTGATTGGAACCCGAAAGGGAAGCGGCGAGTTGGTCGTCAATGCAAGGGTGACTTGGAGGAGGTCATGTGAAGAGGAGATGAAAGCATGTGGGCAAACTTGGAGCCATGTGAAAACGTTAGTTTAGAACCGAACGCAATTGAGACGTGCGGCTGAAGCCCTATGTTCCTCTAGGAATTAAAGGATACAATAATAATAATATCGTTGGATTTCCGAACACCATCCTGTATGGTTGGTTAAGCAAGGGACAAAGTTCATTCATATTTCTATACTACTTCATCTTGTGGATGCAGAACACAAAACTGATGTAATCAAGGCGTCTTTCAAAGTCATCTACCGTATACTAACCAATCCTAATTTTGCCTTAAGAGGTCGTCTATTATATATTGATGAGGCTGGCTGTTGGAATCTACATTAAGAAGCCTAACCTGTGTATCCAAAAGAAGATGCTGGTTCAGACGCTTCCCTTACCTTGGCCGTCAATCAAGGTTTTAATGATCCTTAATTTGTAATTGTGGAGACTGCCTTAATATTTTATTTGATATTCATTCTATATACTATTCCACTTCCATACTTATTATAACTTATGCATTATTCTTGAACTGTGAATCCATTGTGATCTTAGCAAATTGTCATTATTTAAGAAACGCTAATATCGATATTAGAGGGTTGGAGGCAATTGGCAAGAAGCCTTGAACCTAAGTTTCGTGCTAGTTGGCACTCACCAGTCGGTCAGCAAGGCGTATCTGCAACCTTGAGGGAGCTCATTTGCCTTCTGAGATTCCTTCAAGATTGCAGATACGCCTTGCTGACTGACTGGTGAGTGCCAACTACCACGAAACCTAGGTCGAGTAAGGCTTCCTGCTGATTGCCTTCAACCAGTGCAGTGTGACAGCATGCCACCTAGAATAGTGGCCTCAATGTAAACTTGACGGATAGAATTCACACTTCGCGAGATGATATCATTTCTTAGTTTCTGTACAATCGCTTGGTTCACTTACATTAGAGACATTATCTTAACATGTACAGAAAATATCAGATTCACTTTCCAAGAAAAGGCATACAAACAAATCGATGGTGTTGCGATGGGGAGTCCTCTTGGGCCCCTGTTAGCAGATATCTTCATGTCTAAATTGGAGAAACAAATGCAAGGTATGCTAGGGAATTTTATTATATGTAAACGTTATGTGGATGACACCCTCACTATTGGTAATGATAGTAAGTCTGTTGAAAACTTTATTACTCTATTTAATCATATTCATCCAAATATCCGAGTGACTTCTGAATTCGAATCGAATAACAAACTCGATTTCTTGGATATTACTATGACTAGGAGAGACGATACGAAGGATCTATATTTCGTAAGCAGACATGGAGTGGACAATATCTTCATTTCACTAGTTTTGTTCCTATCCAGTATAAACATTCCCTAGTGAAAAGCTTTTTTTCTCAAGGGCCCGAAAAATATGCACGAGCGACACATTGATGGATGAGCTTCGACACATACATTCAGTTTTATTAACTAATGGTTATCCAGAAAACTTTATCAATTGTCACAGTAAGGATAGACCACATCTTGAAAAGACAGCTTCTGTACCAAAGAAAGCTATCTTTATTAACCTACCATTCAAGGGTGATCAAATTATGCAGTTGACAGCTCAAAGACTTCGGTCAGTCATCAAGCGCACATTCTACGCCGCATCTCTTTCCCTCACATGTCGAACATTTTCGATCCCTGTACTTACGATTAAAGACCAAAATTCTGTAAACTCTATTTCAAACTGTATCTACAAGTTCACCTACAGTTGCGGTGACACGTATATAGGTAGAACCAATAGAAGGTTCTAATGTCATCGAAAAGAACATGTTCCAGAATGTTTATTAAAACACATAGAAAATCCCAATGCAATTAATCTGAATAGAAATCCATCATCATCCATTGCAAAGCACTTATTAATGTCAGGTCACAAAATCAATATTAATGACTGTTTCACAATTATTCATCACATAACTCTATTTCAAGGTTATTGAAGGTGATGGAATCACTTTGGATTAATCACATACATCCTAAACTATGTGTACAAAAAACAATAGACTTCAACCTTCGCCTAGCATGAACTGACTACTTGACCTATTTAAATATGATTGGTCATTAGTATGTACTTTTGTTTTTTATATAACTGAGTAATTGTCATGCATTTTATTTTATCTTATTATTGTGAACCATGTTAGTTGTAAAGCGATTGTAGAGAAACTACGAAATGACGATGTCATCTCGCGAAATTTGTCTTCTAAATGCCTTATTCAAATTTATTGTTTGTTTTAGTGATAGATATGGATTTTATAAGAAATTATATCCGGTGAGGGAATTAGATCAAAGGTGTGAATACATGAAATAATAATAGTATGAAATGCAATTAAAATATTTGTGATTATAATCATAGTTTAATGTCAAGTGGAAAAATAATTAATGTCATATACAGAGTAATACATAAGTTGTATAGATTTTGGAAAGGGGTGCATAATTATGGGATTAGTAGGCAAATATAAAATGTTGCATAATATGGTGTGAAATTTGGTAAGATAGAATTCAATATTGTAAAAAATATAAAAATTAATAATCAATAATTTTGGGTTTAAAATGTCAAGTGGGTCAAGTAGAAAAGATTCAGAGTGAGAATAATAGTAATAATAATGATGATATTAATAATAATCCTAGTAATAAGGGAAAAATACATAGAATAACTAAATAAACTAAATAAATAAATGTCTACCCCTCTACGGCCAAGGCAGAAGTAGGGATTGTACATACTTCTTTTGTACACAAACGTCTGGTTGGCTTAAATTCATGAATGGCCAAGGCCTCCGCTGTCTTTAGAAGTCTATAACGAAGAAAACACGGCAAGTTAGCATGGGTTCAGTAGATGATCTTGTTGTGTTGCTCTATTTGACCAAACTAGCGTACACGTATATCCTAGTACTTCGCGTTTATAATTGTGTCCTAACGTTGTGATTACTCGACATCCACAACGTAAATCAAAAGGTACTTGCGAAGGAATATGATCGTGTATTCTCACAGTAATCAAAATTCAAAAATTGAGCGAGTACAAAAGTATCAATTTTTCACACGCAATTTTTAGAGTGATGAACAAATCAAAGTCCACTTATATAGTGAAAGTATACTACGATGATGAGTAATAAAATGGGTCACTACAATCTTAAAGCTATGGTCAGGTGTGGCAGAGTTGTGACAGAAGTCTACCAAGTGTTTTCTAGAATAGGGCCTCGCACACTCTTCTTTTTTCCCTTGTAAATCTATGTCGGAATATGTTCTCCTACCCATGTGGAAAGCGTTCTCCAGTCTACAGTCAATGTACCTTGCTCCACCAGAGTAAGTGAACTGATATAGATGCACATGCAGGCGGCCAGATCGGGAAGCTTATCTTTTACAGAGATGGTGAATT